CAGTCCCTAGCACTGCAGAATCGGAGCATGGTGGCCCATATCTGTAATCCCACCACTGGGGAAGTGGAGGCAGGAGGTTCAGAAGTTCAGGATCATTTTTGGCTACACAGCAAGTTTGAGGGCTGTGTGGAATACATGAGACCCTGCCACAAATAAACAAGAAAATAAAACAAAAGAAAAAGAAATTAAGGCGAGAAAAAGAACAAAATATGTATAGATGGAAAGAAATAGTAAAGATAAGAGTTAAAATAAATGGACTAGAAAATGCACAGGCAAAGCTAGACCTGGTGGCTTGTGTGTATAATCCCAGAACTGGGGAGTCTGAGGCAAGGGGACTGCCAAGAATTTGAGGCCAATCTGGGCTATATAGTGAGTTTCAGGCCAGCCTGGGCTACAGCAAGAAACTGTTAAAAGAAAAAGAAAAAAGAAGAAAGAAGAAAAAAGTAAGAAAAAAAGTATAAGCGACAACAGCCAAAAGAAAAAACAGTGACGCTAAAGATTGGTTCTTTGAATGTAGTTTTTCAAAAGATGGATGAACTTCTACCAAAAATCTCACAGCAAATAAAAATTCAGAGCATTATTCAGCATTATACTGAATATCGACAATAATCTTGAACACAATTTTAGCAAATAAAATTCAGCAATATATAAAAAGTACTATGCACATTGACCAGGTAGGCTTTAATGAAATTGGTAGCGAATTCAAGGATGATTAATTTTATCAACAGCTGAAAAGCATAAAAATACATAATAATTTCAATTGATACAGAAAAGCATTTGGCAAAACTCAAAAGTCCTTCATGATAAAACAAGTGAACAACTGTTAATGATGCATGAACAGAAGGGAACGTTCTCAATAAAGGGTATGAAATGTGCAGTGTGGCACTTAACAATACAAGTCTGCTTTTTACCAAAGATGCATAAGAACACTGAGATAATAATTCTTACTGTTTCTATTCAGTAATGTACCTGTTGTCCTACCTTGAGTAATGCGTAAGAAATAAAGGAGAAAAATTATATTCATTTGCATGTAAAAATGGGAATCTTTTTAAAAATAAAAACAAAATAAAAAACTGCTAGAATTAATAAGTAAAGTTAATCAAGTTACACATTATGAAACTATCTAGCAAAATTGTTATATTTCTTGGGACTAGAGAGCTGGCTCAGTGATTACAAGCATTGCCTGCTCTTGCAGAGGACCTGGATTTGGTTCCCTGCACTCCCATGGTGGCTAAGAACTGCCTGTAACTCCAGTTCCAGGGGATCTGACATGCTCTTCTGGCTTCTACAGACATTGCATACACATGGTGCACTTACATACATGCAGACAAACACTAATAGACATAAAATAAATTTAAAATTAAAAATTACATTTCTATAAGAATAAAAAATTGGAAACCAAAATTCTAACATATTTTCATTTATAATGAATCAAAAAATTAAAATTATTTAAGGGTACATTTAAAAATATATGAAAATTTTCTGTTTCTATGTTGAAAACTACAAAACATTTTTGTTAGAAATTGAGTACAAAAATTAATAGATTTGTTTATAGATTGAAGGATTCAATATTGTTCACGTCAGTTCTCCTTAGATTGACCAGTGAGCAAAGGGCCCGGCATGGTGGTGCATGCCTTTAATCCCAGTACTCAGGAGGCAGGCGAATCTCTGTGAGTTCAAGGCCAGCCTGGTCTACTTAGTAAGTTCTAGGACAGCTGGGGCTACAGGGAGACCCTGTCTCAAAAAGACCCCCCCCCCAAAAAAAAACAAAAGGAAAAAAAAAAAACTCAATTGGTTAAAGCCACTCTCAATTCCC